CTCGCTCACTCACGCTCATTCTCTCAAAAAAAAAAAAAATTTACATCAATTAGAATTCTGCCTTTCAGTACTTTTGGGGGTCCTTCCACATCAAGGTTAGAAATCATTATGCCAAGTATAGTAATACTAATCTAATAATTACAACTTTTATATACAGTAGTATCACTGTTACTTAGAATATGTACTTCTGTACTTCGGACTTTAACAGTCACAAAAGGAGTTTCTTTAGGTTCCTTGAGAGTTATCTTATTAAACCATGGGTCTTGAAACTTTCACTGTTGATCTTGGTATCACAAAGAAAAATCAGAATATAAAATCCTATTAAACTGTGATTTTCGTTGCTAAATCACTCAACTTATACTTAATGTGAACTGACATTATTCTGTAGTCATGAGATACTTTATTTTTATGGCCTAGAGTAGTTGGAAATTGAATGAGATAATGCAGATTGTGAGAGAGATTATATGGAATAAGCTTGTGGTTCCAATTTAGTTCATAGACAACAGGTGTTGACGTTACAAATATAACCACCCAGATGGCAGACTTGTCATTTTTGTAGGAACACCCAGAATTGAAAGAGGAAAGACTCAGCTACTGATTACATTTTCTTTCAGATTAAAACTAAGATGCAGATAAAGCAAGAAAGGCAGGCGGGATCTGCAGTACTGCCTGTGTCTTAGCTAACTCTTGGTTCGTGTCACTTCTCTAAAGAATTCACCTATGATGGAAAAGGAGATGTGTACAATGATCACTGCTGATAAAACAACTCCTTGCAGTTTCCAAAACTGTCAACTTGGCATTTTGAGTTACCATGAACATGGTCTCTAACACTGGAAACCAAAGAAATACTAATGATCTTTTTTCTTAAGACAGCCTCAGTATTAATAATCATTTCAAAAACAAAACATCAGAAAAAGGCATATCATGCTATAAAAACATATTCTGAGGTATGTTTATAATTTCTACTTTTAAAATAGCAGGCCTTGGAAAAGAATAAACTCATAAAACCTACAAATTGGTTCTTAAAAGAAGATCTGTAGAGGAATTTTTATGATTTGTCATGCATGAAACAGGACACCATATATATCATAGTAGGTAAAGAAGCTACACCGGATTATTTTGCTATTTAAACAAAAACAATCTGTAATTTCTTTTAAAACAAGTATTATCTACAGGAGAAAGAAAACAGCAGGTCTATGACTATAAGGCATATTTGCTGCCATAGCAACCGAGCTTCTATTCCTGCCCATTGAATTCACATCCTGCTGGCATTAATGAGAAATGTCCATTTGTGCCAAATTAATGCCATGTCACAGACGCTCCGGGATATACATTCTTGACAGACCTGGAAGTTTTGCATGTTCCACAAGGGGATAAATTCAGTCTTCACTGTATAAAGTTCTTACTCCAGCTTAAAAGCTGAAGTCAGTGCCGAGTCACACTAACCCGATACAGCAGTTGCCTCTAAAAACACTGGCTAGGTGAAGACAACACCACCAGCCCACTCCAGGGCCACACTCCATCTACTCACCAGCACCGCCTCGAGGATTCTCACACATTTCACAATACGGTAACGTGGAGTTATTGATATAGGTGCAGAGGCCACACGGCCAGCCCTTTCCAGGAAGAGGTGGGGTGGTTGCCTGGGCAGGAGCCGTGGTTTGCCTGAGCCAGGATGGCTTCTCCTCTGGGGCACTGTGGTGGTCATTGGCGGTAACCAACTTTAATCTTTTACCTTCAGGCTCAAAATTGCTTTCATAATCCATGATATGTCTTGTGGCTATTTTTCCAGGGTTTGCCGAAACGACAGTATTTTTCTCCTGGAATATCCCTGATTCATCGCAGGAGGTCACCAACTGCCTTTTCTTAGGTTTTGGTGAAAAGAATGATCGAATATCATGCTGTTTTTCTTTTTCAAACTGGGAAAAACAAACAGCAAATTAAGAAGCAATCTAATATGTTTTTCCTAAATAAAACAGTTGAACCAACTATTTTCAGTAACCATATTCCTTTCTCTTTTGAACACCTTGTTGGAAATGAATTCAATTACGCTGACTCTTCATATATACATATATGTAGAATAACATGAACAAATCTATAGACTTTCTGTGTCTAATTTTTTTTTAGCACTTACAATGTGCCTAGCACTTAACATATATTAACTCATTTGATCCTCATGCCAGCTCTGTGAGACAGGTACTAATATTCTTCCTACATTTTAGATGAGGACACTAAAGGTTTAGAGATGTTAGGTAACGTGGCTATGGAATTTATGTAATAAAATTATACTTCATAAACTATCCGCTCCTGGGGCGCCTGGGTGGCGCAGTCGGTTAAGCGTCTGACTTCAGCCAGGTCACGATCTCGCGGTCCATGAGTTCGAGCCCCGCATCAGGCTCTGGGC